GGCGGCGGGGACGCGGCGCGGCGGGAGCGGCGAACCGGCGGAACGGGGCAGAGCGGCAGCGGAGCGGCGGCGGCGCCGGAGAGGAGGAGGAGGAGGAACAAATAAACAATCATAATAATAATTCATAATAATCGTAATCGTAACGATAATAAGAATTTTTTTATAAAACAAAAAAAAAGAGAGAGAGAGCGAGGAGGAGGAGGAAAAAAAAAAAAAAGCCAACAGCCCCCCCACACCCCCGAGCCCAAAAGAGGGAGCGAGAGAGAGCAAGAGCGCAGCGGCCGGGCGGAGCGGCGGAGAGGAAGAATTAAAGCGAGCGAAGGAGGGAGGAGAGACAGAGCAGAGAGAGAGGAGGAAAGAGGAGGAGGAGGAAAAAAAAAAAGCCCACAAAAACAAAGCGATCGCAGTTGATGTTGCTGCTGCAAGCTGGACTTCCAAAAACTACGGCGAGACCGACCGCTCTCCGCGCCGAGAAGAGTCTCCTCCGCTGTGCGTGTTTTTTTCCGCTGTGTGTGTAATCTTTAACCTTTTATTCATTCTTATTTTGATGGCTTTCCTGAATGGCTGACTGCGAGCTTCCCTGGACCTGGCCCCCAGACACCCGCCTCTCCTCCTTCAACTACTCTGCTGCAGATCAGCTCTAAGAGAGAGAGAGGGAGATCTTTGAAGAGATTTTTTTTTTTTTCTCCTCTCTCTCTCTCTCTCTCTCCCCCTCTCTCCCCCACCCCCACCACCCCTTTACTTTGCTCTCCTGGAGCCCAGACAATCGACTCGCACCTCGCCCCCCCGCACACACACCTCCATCGCCCCGTGCTTCTGCACCTTCGCCGGTACCGGGAGATCCCCCCCACCCCGACCCTCCTGAAAAAAAAAAAAAAAAAAAAAAAGGAAAAAAAAAAAAAAAAAATAAAAAGACTGCTGCAAAGCTGATCTGAAAAGCAAAGCAAACAAACTTTGAAAATAAAGGGGGAACAGGAAGTTTGGCAACGGTGTCCAATAGATATGGCAATGGTAGTCGGTGCGTGGCGAGACCCCCAGGACGATGTGCCCGGAGCTCAGGGAACGCAGCCTTCGCAAGCCCCGCCGGTGCAGGGACCCCCGGCCGGGGCCCCGCACACCCCACAGACCCCGGGGCCCGGGGGCCCTCCCAGTACGCCAGCCCAGACCAACCCGCCGAGCCAGCAGAACCAAGGAGACAAGCAGCAGCAGCAACAGCACATTGAATGTGTGGTTTGTGGGGACAAGTCTAGTGGCAAACATTATGGCCAGTTTACCTGCGAGGGTTGCAAGAGTTTCTTCAAGCGGAGTGTAAGGAGGAATCTCAGCTACACTTGTCGTGCCAACAGGAACTGTCCCATTGACCAGCACCACCGCAATCAGTGTCAGTACTGCCGCCTCAAAAAATGCCTCAAAGTTGGCATGAGACGGGAAGGTATTGGGATTTCATTTGTTTTGCAATATTTTTTTTCACTCGCTGCGTTTTGGGGTTTGTTTGGTTTTCCCTTTTTTATTATTTTTAAATAATATATATAATTACTCTTAGCATTTTTAACCTTCCTCTCCAAACCCCAAACCCAACCAGAACCTTTCCTCCCCCCCACCCACCCCCCTCGAATAAACCAGCCAGAAACTTTCTCGTAATGAAAGAAAGCGGTGTTGGGGAGGGTGGGCAGGGAGGCAGGGGCTCTCGCATGCTTTCTCCTGCACTCGTAATTGATTTGTGTTTGTTTTGATTTTGCTGATGGAGGTTTATTGAAAGTGGATTTTTAGTTTCACGCTGCTTAGGAGCGAGATGATGATTCTGACGTGTGGTTACTTTTCCTTCGTGTTTCCTCCTGCATGCTCAGCCTTAGCCCCCGTCCCCCGAGCAGCCCTCTGTGTGTGTGTGTCTGTGCGTGTGTGTACACACACACACGGAGCCTCCCGAGATGCACACACATACACACACATATATATATATCCTCCAGCACCCTGCCTTAGATTGCAATTTTACACAGGCGGTTCAAATTACTATTACAATGGGACTCACCCTACCGAGGCTCTACAGCACTCCACTGTGGATTCCCAGCCGGATTTTTCCTCCTTTAAAAAAATATATATACACACACATCTCCACGCGTGTGTGTGTGTATATACACACTGCCGTGTGCCTGCCTTTCCTGGTTGTTATTACCTCACTTTTCTCTTCTTCCTCTTATTTTCTTGTTCCTCCGGGAGAGGCAGGAGGGGGTAGAAGGGATGGGGTGGGGGGTGTAAGGAGCAGTCCAGAAGTAAGTGTGGGGTGCTCGGATCTCTGCAAGTGGAGTCTTTGTGATATAAAATTAGACGGGAAATGTGAGCCTGCAGTTTTCCAGTGCGTGCTCTGTGTCTGGACGCTGCTATGTAGGTTAAGGGTGAGGGGGCTTGGGACTCGCCGGGCTCCTCTCTTTGTGTTTCTGCAAGAGTAACTAACCTTGGAATACAGGCGATAACAAATATAAATCAAGCACATTTTTAGGCGTTCTCCCTTCTTGTCGTCTCTCTGCCTCTGAGCCCTTTTTCTGTCTCCTTTTTCTCTCGCTGTCACCGTGTAAATTTATTAACAAAATGAAAGGCCCACTTTCCATGGGCAGCGGGGGAAGGTGCCTTTGGATAATGCCCTCAGCCTCACCAGGGGACCTGCCGGGGATGTTGTGGGGTGATTTTGTCTCCTTTGGTATTTTTTACGAGAGGGGGGGATGTATAATACCAGCAGCAACAATGTATTCAGTGGGCGAGAATCGCGTGTGGGACCAGAGCCGGGGATTTCGAACTGAAGTGTTTCTTCCTTCTCCCCTCCTCCTTCCCCATCCCGCTCCCCCAGCCTCAAATCAATGAGCTGGTTTAGGTGTAACGGAGAAAAAACACACAAAGACGTATCCTGCATCTCTTGAAGGAGGGGGTGGCGGTGGAGGGGAGGGGGGGATAACTGGACTGTGGTGTGTTTTGGGAAGTGAGGAGCCGGGCTCCCACAGCAGCCCTGGCCGAGCCCACGGCGTCCTTCAGCTTTTGTTGTTGCTTGACTTGACCCGGGAACTGCGGAGCCTTAGAGCGGGGCTGGGGCTGAACTCTGCCCGGGAGAATGCATGTTCCCCCCGAAGCCGGCCGGGTGCGGGGTCACACAGGCACGCACAAGCACACAAAGCAGGCTGTATTTGAACCGATGGTCGCAATTCAGATATTAATAGCTGTAGTTTCTTCTTTATTTACTGCAGCGGTCCAGAGGGGCAGAATGCCACCCACACAGCCAACTCATGGTCAGTTCGCCTTGACAAATGGGGACCCTCTCAACTGCCATTCCTACCTATCCGGATATATCTCCCTTCTTCTGAGAGCAGAGCCCTACCCCACCTCCCGCTTTGGCAGTCAGTGCATGCAACCCAACAACATCATGGGCATCGAGAACATTTGTGAACTGGCAGCTAGGATGCTCTTCAGCGCGGTGGAGTGGGCCAGGAATATCCCCTTCTTCCCAGACCTCCAGATCACAGACCAGGTGGCCCTCCTGAGGCTGACCTGGAGCGAGTTATTTGTCCTCAACGCTGCCCAGTGCTCCATGCCCCTCCACGTAGCTCCGCTCCTGGCAGCTGCTGGCCTCCACGCTTCGCCAATGTCTGCTGACCGAGTGGTCGCCTTTATGGACCACATACGAATCTTCCAAGAGCAAGTAGAAAAACTGAAAGCATTGCATGTCGACTCTGCAGAATATAGCTGTTTAAAGGCCATAGTCCTCTTCACCTCAGGTAGGCGGCATTTCTTTGCTCCTTTTTTTTATTTTTTTTTTTTTCCTCTCCTTCCCCGGGCCCCCCTTGAGAAGTGTTTGCTCTTGCAAAGTGTTATTGCCTGCACCCCATCCCCTCTCCCTGCCCCCCAAGAACCAGCGCGGTCTCTTTTCCTTTTAGGAAGCGGTGCCCTGTGCTCTCCCCTTCAGGGCCTCGGATCCGAGCATCCCATCTTCTAGGGAGTGCAAATCAGAAAAAAAATAAAATTAAAATAAAATATACACACACCCCATTTATTTTTATTTTTTTTTAAGAAAAATGCAGACAGCCAAAATATACCCCAACCCTAGCTGAATAACGCTGGGGACTGGGAAAGAAGGGGCCCGGGAAGAGGCACCCATTCGCCACGAGAGACTGCGCTCTTCCCATTGAAAATAATATTTTATTTAACAGTATAGCTCTGGGTTGTTGCATTTAATGACACGCATCCGAACAGCAGCAAAATCTGTTTGATGTTGTTAAATACAAGTCGTCCTATCAGTGAAACCACTTTAAAAAGAGGATCATTTTATGGGCAGCCAGGAAGGGAAAAAAGCCCTGCAGGATTAAAAATTGAATTAAAAAAAAAAAAAAGTTAAATGCGCAAATCTGAGTTTAAAATATGTTCCCTGCCATCTCATAAAATAAAATAAATCAACTTTGCAAAGAGCTGTCTCTGATTTAAACAGAATGTGGCAGTGAGCAGTTCTGTGTCATTTAAGCTAAGGGGAAAAGTTTGCATTTGTACCCAGCAGGAACTGCATAGTCCAAAGCGAGTAGCGGGTGCGAAAAGATCATTACCATAAGTAGACAGGGGTAGTATGGAAAAGTAAGAGGAGGCTGAAGCTGCCGCTCCGCAGTGTAATTCCGGGGTGGCACAAGCATGACTCTCCCGAGGAAAAGACCTCGAGGTGTTTCTTAGATAATCAAAGAGGGGAGGGGGGGGGAAATATGTGTCAACTTTTGCTGCCTAGAAATAGTGCATGAGTTATAAAGCAATAATTGAGTGCGTTGTGAAATCTAATTAGCTTGCACTAGAGTTTAACCTGGGTGAGTAATAATCCTGATATTAACTCTGGAGGCTAAATTTTTTTTTTTTTTTCTTCTGAGGGGAAAAAAAAAATCTGCTCGCTAATTTGTGCAATACGTTATCTCAGATCACTAACTTTGAGGCTGCACCGGCAACCCAGTGTGCTGGAGCCCTCGAAGTTTGGGGATTAAATTTAAAAATACATACATTTCGCCTGTAACTCATTCGGACGCTTGGGAAAGTGGCCACGCGATAAACATATGAATGGAAGCAGGACCTGCAAAATAATTACTCATCAGAGTTTTTTAAAGCCTGATATCAGGAAACAGGAAAAAAATGTAGTTTATGTGGGAAAAGAAGGGCTCACAATCCGTTCCTTGTTGTGTTAAAGGGGGTCTGGGGAACGAAGTCATTTTCTGGACTTTGTCCAGGTTCTGGGTCGTGACCTAAACTTCCTTTTATATATTATTGCTTTACACATAAAAAACTTCTCCTTTTTTTTTTCCTCCCCCCCCAATTACTGGTGCTAAATCCTGAGGTGATCAATGAGCAGGGCGCATCTAGCCACAGGGAGACAGGGATCCCGAGTGGGAAGGGGTGTCCGTGGGGTGCTTATTTTATTTTTCTATCGTTTTTCTAGGATGCATTTTCCTCTCCCTCGCTCAGCCGCTCAGCGAGGATCCCACACACGCTCACATCCCTCCCCAGCCCCTGCCCAGCTCACACCCACACCAAGGAGTTTATTTCCAATCCTGCCTTTTCTCCCAAATCACTTTTTTTTTTTTTACTTTTTTTTTTTTTTTTTTAGCCTTCTGAGAAAACAATCGTCCGATCCTGTCGTAACTGTTTAATTTATGACTATTTTCAAAATGGGAGGCCTGGCGTGTAAATTGCCTCCCAACTAGATAAACGTTTCTTGTTATCTGATTCTGGGGAAGACAGCCGCATGCAAAAAAATATAGGGTGATGCTTGCAGCTTCTGCAGCACCCCAATAACCCTCCCTGATGTAAAGCAGACGCACATAGATGCATATAATGTTTGCTGCAGCCTCTTTTAAGAGGGAGGGGGGAAAAAATCTGGGTTCTAATGACTCGCAGAATATGCATGTGTTAGCCCTGTGCCTAGGAAAGCCACAGGGAGGTCAGGTCACAACCTGTGCTCTTTCAGCACAGACGTCTCTGATTTAAAGGGAACTTATTGTATTTTAGCGTATCAGGGAGAAAAAAAAAAAAAAAAAAAAAAAAAAAAAAAAAAAAATCCAGACCCTATCAGGGAGTTTTCTTCTTGTAAGGGCCTTTAGGTTTAAAAAGAAGAAGAAGAGGAAAAAAAAAAGAGGGGGGAGTGGAGGGGGGGGAAGAAAGAAAGAGAAAAGAAAAGAGGGGGGAAAAGAAACAGCTCAAATGAACAGAGAGATCACAGTTTGCATGGCTGCCTCTGAATAGGCTAAACTGACAAGATCAGTTTTAAAGGGCCACTTAAATCAGTTTCAAAGACTGAAGAAAAACGCGTTGTCTTCTTTGGGGGAGAATCTGTTGCTGGATCCGGGGCGCCATTATCTTTGGCTGGGCCAGTTTTTTATTATTATTATGATTTCTATCACTATGAGCAGTAGTCCTTCTCATCACAGGGTTAGGCTTCCCCCAATTATTTTCCAAGAAGGGGGGGTATGGAGAAATAGTGGCTCCCTTTCCCCCTTTTCAGCTCAAGCCTTCCCCGCCCCCCCAGCCTTTCCCCCAAAAACCACAGAGATATGAAATTGGGCTTGGCCAGCACCTCCTTGCCACCCCTCAGGTCTGTCGTGCCATTCGAAATCTCGACCCTGGGAGCTGTGCTCAGTCCTAAAGGAGACCCTCTAGAAGAGAGAGAAATGCAGACACACACACATGCACAGAGAGATTGTCCCTTTTGGTGAAACCCACTTAAACTCTGGGGGGCGAGGTGATGGCGCACGATCCACTCTTAAACCTAGATATTTGAAAAAAAAAATCAAATTAGAAATTTAAAAAAAAAACCAAACCACCAAAACCTTTTTAATCTGATGATTGCTTTCTTTTTTTTTTTTTCTTTTTTTTTTTTTTTTTTTTTTTTTTAATACACTTTCTTCTAGATGCCTGTGGTCTCTCTGATGTAGCCCATGTTGAAAGTTTACAGGAGAAGTCACAGTGTGCTTTGGAAGAGTATGTTAGGAGCCAGTATCCCAACCAGCCAACACGATTCGGGAAGCTATTACTACGTCTCCCCTCCCTTCGCACTGTCTCCTCTTCTGTCATAGAGCAATTGTTTTTCGTCCGTTTGGTAGGTAAAACCCCCATAGAAACCCTAATCAGGGATATGTTACTGTCTGGCAGCAGTTTTAACTGGCCTTACATGTCCATTCAATAAAACATCCAAGAGAGAGAAAAAGGAAAAGAAAAAAATAAAAAAAACCACCAAGACAAAAATTTTAAAAAATAAATAAATAAAATCAAAATTGAGAAGGGAGATGAGAGTGAAAGGAAAGCAAATGACATTTGGGTTCTGGTTGTTTCTTAAATTTCCTTCTGCTAAGAAAGGATGTAAAAGGATGTTACAAGTTTGCTAAGAGAAGACAGGAAAAATTAATGGACTGTGAATTAAAAAAAGAGACTGTCAAATGAACTTTTACAGAATGCATTAAAAACTCCCGTGTTGTTCAGAAAAAAAACTTGCTACTTATCATTTTTTTTGTAAAAAATAAAAAAGAGGGAAAGAAAAAAAGAAAGAAGAAGAAAAGAAACGATGGTGGGCTTTTTCTTTTTTTCTTTTTTCTTCTTTTTTTTTCTTTTTTTTGGGGTAAACTTTTTAAAAAATCTCGCTTAAAGTGCATTTAAAGGAAATTTGGAGAAAATTAGCAGAACGGAAGAAAGTAAGTCTTTTTTTTCCAAATTATTAATTGTCCTATGTGTCTATGTACCTATAGCTGTTCTTTTTTGTATTTTTCTGGTTTCAAACCAGTTTATTCTGTGGTTCTATAATAATTTTTGATATAACCTTGGCTTCTTTAAAAAAAAATAAACTGTGTATCCTTAAAATATATGTTCTGAAAGAATTAAAACTGAGTCCACGAAAGTATCATAGGAAGAAAGGAAAGAGAAAAAAAAAAACCCTCAACAACACAATGATGGAAGCGCACTTAAGGTGGTGACCCAAAATCTAGCTTGAAGCTGAGAGAGCTATAATTATATAGACCCGAATGAACCACACGTGTCATATAACTCCCCCCAAATCTAGGTTTTTTTGATATTTCGGACAGAAAATGGACTGTGGGGATTTATTATAGGTAGAAGGATTTTGTGTCCAAGACACACTACGGTTTTGATTTAAAAAAAGGAAAACACAAACAAGCAAACAAGCAAAGTGAACTTTTGTAATTTGAATTGGGTTCCACATAGTTCATCATGAATTGTTATTAAACTCCTCTATCTGTTTGTATATTTGCAAGCCCTTTGTATTATAATAATTGTTGATATTTTCCCTTTTTAAAAAATACCATTGAAATCAGCATGACAAAATAACACTGTTGGCACTTATAGATAACGTGATTGATTCAGTATCTTAGAGTTTACAGTTTTGTGTTTAAAAAAACTGAAGGTTTTTTTTTTTTTAAGTGCAACATTTCTGTATACTGTAAAAGTTATAATAACTGAACTGTTTGGTCGAGTCTTTGTGTGTTATATTCCAAGGAAAATTGAAAGTATTCAGAAATTAAAATATTATTTGATATCTGAAACTTGTTTGGCTGTCATAAATGTCTTTCAGAAACCACATTACTTCTCTATAGTTTGCAGTCATTTAAGTCCATAGGCGATTGATTTGTTTACTTGTCACAGTAAGTTTGTAGCAGATGTATTGTAGTGTATTTACCTGTTTAATTCCGGGATGGGGGTGGAGGACTTAAGTTCGTGGTTTATCTCTGGTTTTAGGAAGTACTATGCTGAAATGGTAAACCATCAACCCCCATTCATCTAATCCTCCTGTTAATTAAAAATGGATTTTCTGGAAAAAAAAAAAAGGCCCTTATTTTTGTCACACTTAAGTGCCTGCGTAGGAAAGGTATTGTTGTGAAAAAGTATTAGAAATCTGGAGATCAGTATCTATTTTATGATCAGAATGGGGCGAAAAATCTTTTGTAAATGTCTGACATACGCGCACAAGATCATTCAAGCAAGGTAATAGCAGTATTGTAAATATAGGTCAGTTGTTTGCAATGAGTTTTCTTTAAGTATGTGTGATTTTTTATAATACTCCGTAGTTGCCATCTATCGTTGTCATTGAGAGGTCTTCAAATGGAGTGGCTTTAGCTTCTAGCACTGAGGAGTCGGTTTTTAATGTATATATACTCTCAAGTGGATTTCTTTTTTTTTCTTTCTTCTTTTTTTTTTTTCCTTTAAACCTTAGACTGTGAAAGCATGACCACAGGTCATCTCTCTCTTTTACATATGGGCTATCTGTCTGTGTGTATGCTGGCACACAGACACGCGTGGGCGTCCCTGGATGTCCCCTGTGGAGGCACAGGGCCCTCTCCTGCAGCCCTGGCACCGGGAGTGGGACCTGCCTGGGCGGGTGGCATAGGACCGGACACACCACTGGGGAATTGAGTGCTATCCCGAGCAGGCAAAAAAAAAAAACAAAACCCAACCAAAAAACCACAAAATAACCCAACCCAAACCTGAAGGAAGGCAAGATGATGTGGTTTTTGCAAGGGGTTGATATTTTATTTCGTGTGTGTGCGTGTCATTTATTATTTTTTTTTCTCTTTTCTTTCTCTCTCCCCCCGCCCGCCCTCCCCTTGGTCTATAGCAGATGCTTTGTATGTGAAAGCTTGCAATTTTGTTCTTGTCTGAGGCTTCCCCCTCTCCCTTTTTACCACACGTAACTACACCATGTTGTGGTTTCACAAAAAGAGAGAGAGGGAGGGAGAGAGATCATTCTGTAAAGTCGATTAAACCCTGATCTTTAGTGTGTTCCAGTTAGACACATCTGTACTGGGGGCTGAGGGGCGTATGACTGTGAATTTGAGCAGAGTTTTACATCTGAATCATGGCTCCTTTTCTATAAATATATAAATATATATAAATATATAAATATACTATTATTGCAGGGGAATTGCTGACCTCTAGATTTAGCTTTTTCTATTGCAAGTGCTATCCATGTGAGTGTGTGTGTGTGAAGTTTTTATGCTTACTAAGAACACAGGATCTTGACTTGTTTGTTTTGTGTTAGTTTATTGTAAACAACCATTTGTTGTAAATTGTTATTGGCATTAAATTATAATTTATGATTTTCAAATCCAAAACATTCTCTGCTTTTTATGTTTTAAAGCCTGTAAGCTATCTCTGTATTTATAAGTTTCTTGCAGCGAGCTTTGGTTCACAGAGAATAATAGTAAACAGAAAATGCACCAGGGTTAAATAAAAACACACACACACACACGCACGCACACACACACAAGCCCCGTGTATATATGTTTGGAATGCTCAGAGGAGGATTTGTTTAGGGACTTCAGTTAGTTTTAAGTTTATAGCATTTAAAGAAAGTTTTTCTTTTCATGCTGAGTTAGAACAAAAGATCTATCCAAAGATTGAATTGGACAAAAGAGGAGGGTTGGGATGGAGAAGCTTGTTCTATGTTGAATTGAGGAGATCCTTTTTTTTTTTTTTTTAAAAAAAAAAAAAAAAAAAAAAAAAAAAAAAAGCTGTTAAACATGGCGACTCTTTCCCTCTAAGTGTCTAATTTATTTTTTTTTTCCTTGCGGTTCCCCCACTTCCCAACCCTCCCTTTTATTATATTTTCTGCTTTAATCTGATCTCAGCTCGCTCTATTCCTTTCCCCCCCACCCCTGCCACCGGCACTGGCGGGGAAAGACCCAAAGGCGACCCGGAACGACAGCGAGAGCTGCGGAGCCGCCCGCGGTGCAACCACAGCTCGCGAAAGGTCTTCTTCACCCCCCCTTCCCCTTCCTCCTCCTCCTCTCCCCGGCTCTCCCCTCCCCGCCGCCGCTCTCCCAAACCTCCCCCGGCCCCGCCGGGGGGGCGGCGGCCCCGCGGGGCGCGGAGGGGGCGCGGGAGGAGGCGGCTCCCCAAGTTCAGACAAAAGCGGGGGCTGGGGCCGGAGGAGGCGCCGGGCGGGCGGTGCCAGCCCGCGCGTGCGAGCGTGTCCGTCTGTCCGTCCGTCCGTGCGCGCGCGAGCGCGCGTGGCAGCGCGTCCGCCCCGGGGCTCGGCCGGGGCCGCGGCCGCGGGCGGCGCTTCCCCCGCAGCCCCGATCCCATCCGCATGTCAATGACCTGTGGAAGCATCTCCCCCGTGCGAGCGCGGCGCGGTGCAGCGGGGTCACACCGACCCCGGCTGGGACAGCGGGGTCTGCGCCCGCAGGGAGAGCGGCATCCTCGGGATGGGCCAAAAAAAAAAGGGAAGGGGGGAAAGGGGGGAAAATAATAAGAGAGAAAAGGAAAGGGGGAGAAAGAAAGAGGGATAGCGAGGAAAAGGCAAGGGTGTTTCGAGGCGCTCCGTAACCGCCGATGATAACGAGCGGGATGTGGGAATGGAGATGGGTTTTATTTTTATTTCTTTCTCCTAGTTTTTTTCTTTCTTTTTTTTTTTTTTTTAATTAAAACTTTAGTGGGTCCTGGGGATCGCGCTCGCTTCCCTTTGCTTTGTAGAATGGAAAGAGATACACGGAGAAATGCAGGCCTTGTCAGGATTTATTGAAGTTGGGTTTAAAAAACGTGCTTCAGATGATTTTTCCCATTTTCTCAGATTTCAAAGGCTCCCCGCAGTGCGGCTGCCTAATTAATGGTGAAATTCAACTAAATCTAATTATGCAGTAATTTTAAAGCAGTTAGTCCTGGGCGCTGCTTTGTAATAGGAACCCAGTTTTTAAAGTTTGCTTAATGTGTTGGTTTAGGGAGCTGGGGAGGAGAAGGGTGTAAGGGACAGAGCTGTGGGGTTGTTTTTTTTCCTTTCCCCCTTCTCCCCTTTTCCCCCACCCCTTTTGTAAGGCAAAGAAATGCAAAATATAAACCCAAAACAGCCAGCGAAAGGCAAGGAGAGAGGCTGTCTTATCCCCTCGTATGTGATACGGGTATTGAGTGAGAAGCACCAGCGAAAGTGTAAATAACACAGTAGTTAATAGGGACCATAAAGGTATTCCTGGCCTGTGGATTTCCAAGTGCCGAGCTGTTTTAGAGAGGATCTTGAATCCTGCGGTAATAAAGGGGCAACGGAGACACACAGCGTCTCTTCTTGGGAAATAGAAACCAGATTTCAGCTATTGAACATCTATTGTCATTAAGAGGAGAGGCTTGTGCTCGCGAAGTTATAAATCTTATCGCCCTTTTGATAACACAGTTGTAATCAGTTAGCATCGCATTCAAACCCAATTGTAAAACTGCCTAATTTAATATGTCATACATGTCATTAAAACTTTATTTTTCCCACTTCTCTTTTTTTCCTCCCCTCTCTCTACCCATCCCCCCCCACGTAAAATGTCAACAGATCTGGCTGGTAACGTGCAGCAGGGAGAGCCCGAGGTGGCTGCGCTGCTCCGGGGGCGAGCCCGGTGCTATGATGAAGAGGGTTTGCTTTCTTCCCATCTAGGTAATCGGAAGCGTTTCTATCATATTAGAAGTATAGGGGGAAAAAAAAAAGATAATAATAATAAAAATAGAGTGGGGTGGGAGGCAAGGGAGAGAGGAAAATGAAATCCTTCTCCTTCCTTCAGAATTGCCATCGCTCAATGAAGTTCTTTGAAAGAAACTTGTCTTATGATTAGCTAAGCAAACACATCTGCTTTCCTAGTTTGGGCTTAGCTAATTATCAAAACAAAGGGGCCGTTTCTTCTTCTACCTTGCTGGAAAGAAGATGTTATTTCAGGAGTCCTGTCCCTCCTCCCCCCCTCATCCACACACACACGCAGCCCCCGTCCCAGCCCTTCCCAGCGAAGCACCACGCTCCTTTTATTGGGATTACCGATGGGGAAATGAGTTTGCGCACTCCTCTTCCTAATGTTAAGCTTTATCATTACCTTCCTTGGAACAATATTTTTCCAACCAAATGTCCCTGCGGCAGGGCGGAGGGTGGAGGTGGGAAGGGGAAGGGAGGAGGGGGAAGGTGGTTTTGAATTGCGGACCAACTTCGCAGCTATTTGAATCAAGGCTGCACTCGGTTGATTTTAGTTGACAGAGCGTGTGTTGAAGCTGAACTCTATAATTTGCACTTCTGTTCTTTTATTAGACTTGGACAACGAACTAATGAGCTTTCCCCCACCACTGTGTCACTTGTATTTATTTTCTTTCGGAAACTTTTAGATAGAAGAGGTGTTCTTGCAGAAGGGCAGAGGTGGAGGGAAGGTTTCGTGCGGTGGCTATTTATTTATTTATTTTCCTGGAGGTGCAGGGATCATCCCTGTGCTTGTGCGGATGTGTCTGTGTGCGTGTGTGTCCCTGTCCCCGGTGAAAGGCGACCCACGCGGTGTTAGAGGAGGAGAAGCTCCGAGCTACATGTGTTATCCGGGCGATGCTGCCCTTGGAGTGACTCGGGTGGTGGGAAGGTAACGCGGAGGCGAGCCTTGCGAGACGCCCGAAAACAAAATAAATATATCTATATGCGTATAAATCACCGGTCCTGAGGCAGAGGCTCCGCGGTGCGGGCGCGCTGTGGAGCGGAGGGCAGCGAGCGGCGTGAACCCGAATTTGGTCAGATCTCTGCAGGAGCGGGTTAACTTTATAAAAGCGAGAGGTGCCTTTAAGCATGTACCTGAGAGACGCTGGAAGAAAGGGGTTTGGAAGCAAATAGAAAGGTTTTAAATATACATGTGTATTTAGGAAAGGGAGAAAAAGCCCAAAGGAAGGGTTTCCATATACACACAAAAAAAAGGAGGGTGAAATGTTTGTCACTACATGACCACCAACGCACGAAGCCGTATCCATCGCTCGGAGCCTGCTCCATCCGTGCGAGTCGTGAGATATTTTGAATTTTGATTCCAGCGTGTTTTCTTTGAACTGGGCCTTTCGG